CATGACCCGAAAAACTACCTACACTCATCTTGCACTTATAGCCCACACTCCACAGGTAAGGCAGTAAAATCACAAAAGCTAAAAATCATTAGAAGACACCCACTCATAAGATTTTACTACTCATTTCTACAGAATTGCTTTTTTCACATACATAAACTTTCATAGCTTCATTTTATCAAGTTCCCTTCATATCACATTATTCTCCTGTTAGTTTTTTCAATAGATTAAAAACATACCTTTTTTTTTAGACCATAAACATTTCAATCAAATGAAAGTGGAAAGGTCACTCTGGCAAAAGCAGATGAAAGGTTGGCCACCAGCTTTGCCCACCCTACCTTATTTCTTATTCTGATGGCACCCTCCACAACCAATAACTCCAAGATATCTTGGGCACTACTTGCACAGGAATGTATTTAGATTCTCAGTGTTTTAAGAACCCATTTATTTCTACAATTTAAGAATAGCACGAACAGGAGTGCCAGATTTTATAGTAAGCTCTTCAGCTTCATAAGAAGCTTAATGTTATGTAGTTTGTTGCAGTACTGTACATCCCTTTATAGACTCATTAATCTCATACCACATACATTATTTGGCATCTGATCAGTATATTAAGAGAGATTTTGAAGATACAAATGGGAGCTGGACTTTTGAATTCCCTGGCTTTCAGTGGGAACCTGGTTTCTAACTTACCATGAGATTTTTTTCAAAGTTTCCCTTGCAGCACAACTCCCTAACCAGATTCCCCAACCTCAGTATTTGGATTTATACTGTTAATTTACTCGTGTTTTACTTGGGAAACTCTAGTGCCTTTTCAGTCTTATATAAATGTGTATATAGATGTATTCTATAAGTACATGATATGTCATATACAGTCAGTGTTTGCTATCAACAACTGTACTCATTAAACATATTTACATACACCTCTTTTTGGCTTTTAAGCTTTCAGTGTACGTTTTTTGTATCCAATCATTAACATTCTGCTCCTTTCCATTTCCACAACGAATCAGAGAGATTTGTTTGCTTTTATTTATTTCTAGAAACACTCAAAATCACAATAAAACTTCACATTTGTACAGCACCGTGTGTTTTCTGTCTTCAAAAGAATGATCTCCATGAGTTTATACATGTATATAAGACCTTTTTTGCTCAGGACCTGATCCAGATAAATACAAAATGTCCTCAAATCTGGTTATGCTGCTTAGGCTGGAGAGCCTTGTGATTTCACAGGAAGGGCTCGGATAAGAAGCCTGCGTGCAAACTCACAATCACCAAAATGATGACACTAGCTTTCCACCCCAGATCGTGTACATTACACCCCTTGTTCTTCTTGCTTTGGGTGATATTTTACAAAATAATTCAGACTTATTTCTCAGAGGTTAACCCAAAGCCCAGCCTGGGATGATGCTCTTTTCAAAAGCTGAAGCATATTGGCAGGTCTGTGTGGATCTTGAATAGACATAAGTTCTGCCTACAAGCAGATGAAGAGATCTATGTCTAAATGAAAAGGAAGGGAGGTTGGGAGACTAAAATCTTTAGTAGTTTCTAGGGATGATGCTAATTACTGATAGGGTGAAGCAGCAAAAAGGCAAAGTTCAGTCTGTAACAGAGAAAATACTGACATGAAGAATGATAAATGATTTCTTCCCTAGTAAAAAAAAATTGTCATAGTAATCAAATCAATAGATGTTCCTTTCTATATGCTGCACAATTAAGAGATTCAGTACAAAACAGATCCAAATTCCCTGCAAGTTCTGATGAGGAAGTAGAAACCCCTGGGACTCCCCTCACCTGCACTTGCTCATATGGCAATGTGGTATTTGATGGAGCCTTGAGGAAGCAGCAAAGAGAAAGAAAACATGAGACCCCATGTACTGCACATTCCACACCAGCTTGGTGGCAGTACAACACGAGGCCATTCAGACACTCAAACAAATCTCTGAAAGCTGAATAAATGGTAGAGTGTGAAGCATATTCCAATCTCCAAGAACCAAAAGCGTATATAAACAGGAAAACTATGGAAAATTGTAACTTCTGAGGAATTTTGTTATGAAATAAGACTCCAGTACTGTAATGAACATGCACCAGAGCTGTGTGCTTTTATCCTTCAATAACTTCTTGAGAAGTTAGGAAGAAATGAGCCACTATTACACTTGCTAGGTAACTCTGAGACTAAACAGCCGAAAAGATAGCTGTGTAGGGGCAGCCAGGAGCTCAGGTATGGTATCTACTCAGCTCACTGAAAGGACATAGCGACCGAGTTCCGAAAAAAAATACACAGCTATCCAGGCTTCAGGCAGTGCCGAAGTCTTTCACTAGATTGTAGCAGAGACAGCAGTTGCTATTGGGATCATTCAGCCTGGAGAAGAGGCGGCTTTGGGTGACATAATTGCAGCCTTTCAGCACCTAAAGCAGGCCTATAAGAGAGATGGGAAAGAGACTTTTTACAAGGGCCTGTAGTAATAGGACAAGCAGGAATGGCTTCAAACTGAAAAAGGGTAGGTTCAGATTGGATACTAGGGTGGTGAGGCACTGGAACAGAAGCTGTGGATGTCCCATCCTGGGAGGTGTTCAAGGCCAGGGTGGATGGGACTTTGAGCAATCTGGTCTACTGGAAGGTGTCCCTGCCCATGGCAGGGATTGGAACGAGGTGATCTTTAAGGTCCCTTCCAACCCAAATCATTCTATGATACTCTATCACGAACTACAGCACCATATAAATGGCTGTTTACACTGTCCTCAACCACGTGAACTTAATTCTTTCCCAGGACTGAAGCATATGGCTTGTCACTGTATTTTTAAATAAGAGCATTCAGATGTAGTTGTAGCTGAGAAAAATTCTGGAGGAGTTTGTCACGACACTTTTGGCTTCCATTAGTGCTTAAAGGGATCTAAACCAGCAGCAGTCTTACCCAACTTTGGTTTAGTAGACTTTGGGTAAGAACTCTTACATGAGATGCACTTCTGTTCCTCATGAGAACAAAAGGTGGGGGCAGCAGGAGTCAACCAAACAGGCTGGTAGACAAAGGCTCTGTGGAGGGCTGCTACCTTAAGGGAAGGAAACTGCAAACCTTATGAGGGGAAAAAGGAAATAAAAAAGTCAGTCTACATTATAATTATTTAATCCTAAACACTTGTCTCTAATAGTCTGTTTTCAAGAATGCTGTTAGCAAGTTATGAGATCACTCAATGAATACTAACCAGACTTAATTTGACGATGCATCGTGACCCTTCTTCACAGGAACACAGTCCTGCTCCCTGTGACTGCCATGGGATCAGGTACAGAGCACTCAGACAATGGGAGGGAAATGATTACAGAAATCAGATTCACAAGAACATAAAGCTGCTTCCCATTTACTACTTGAAAAAAGGCTGCTGGGGCCTTCTATACCAAGAACACAGCAGGTTGCAAGTTCTCTCCTCAAGTTTTTTCATTTAAAAAAAAATCCATTGCATTTCATGTTTTGTTTTGCCTGAAACAAGGTGTTATCTTTCACTCAAATTCTAGGACAGATATTAAATAAGGAAATACAGTAGCTTGGTGGGCTGGTAGAGGCTTTAAGTTCTTCACAACATCTGGATATAATCACCTCATCCTTACATATCTGTGATTTGCCATCAGCTGTTCAGAATAATTCCAGCCATTACAGTTCATTACCTACACACTTTGATTCATTGCTGAGAATACTATTCCTGACAAACATTCTAATATTCTTAAATTATAATCAGCTTGGGGAAGACTGCAGTTAGGGCAACTTAAAAAACATGACAGATATTTTCATATACATTCGATTTATGAGCACAAGTGACTGAAAATCAAAGTGAGTTTTATTCCCACAGAAATTTCTCTCATATATAGTATTATTGTGATAGTAAAATTGCAATGTTAATTCTCAAACTGCTTTAGTTCTGAACCTCAAGAATAAATATCCTGAGACACAAATCAGAGTTAGGTCACATGGGGCGCTGAACAAGGAGGCTGAATGAGGATTCAAGCATTCAGCAAATGCAGCCAAGATCACCTGATCTAGTGTTGATAATAATCCCACTTCAAACTGGAGGCTGGACCAGCTTTAGCCTGACAGAGACCCTACAGAGAACCCTCCCAAGCACCATTCCTATTATTCTATCAATTCTAACATGTTTTAACAGTTAAAATAGCCCTAGGATTTATAAAGACTAACATTAAATATTGTATTTGAAAAGCATTAACCCTCTGAAAGGCAGACCAAAATGGAAAGCTTAAAACAACCTCACTCTTACATAATCATAACAAACTAGAAGGGCAAAAAAATCAAACATGCTATTCAAATAAAGTCATGCACCATCTCATATTAAGCAAACGAGAGAATTTAATCACAATATAGTGGGTTGGCTTTTGCCTTTTTTTTTTTTTTTTTAGGATTTCCTTAGCAATGGGGGTCAGAAACCGAAGGAAGTATTCCATATCATCCTTTAACATAACACAACATATAAATAAGGTGTAGATAAAAGACCTCGCTCTCTTCTCTCTTCCGGTGGCTGAAGGCGACAGGTCTCTCCGCAGACGGTCTTTGCTTGTATGGGTCAAGGCCTGTCTGCTCAGACCTGCTGTTATCTCCGGTCCCTCTGGGAGGCGTGGGGAGTTGGTTGGTGCTTCACACGGTTCTGCTGTCTCGTTCAGGGAAGTAGTATTTAATTCATTTTTTTTTCACTTATTCGCTAGCTCTCTATTAATGAGAGCTAATGTATATTTGGAGGATATTTGTTTTGTTTGTGTTTTTTTTATCCCTGTTTCCCTCCTCCCTTTCCCCCCCCTTGGGAGCTCCCTATTGTGTGTACAATATATTCAAATTATATATATAATTTTAAATATACGTAAATATATATATATTTTTGATATAATCCCATTTTGTTCGGGCTTCTTTCGGTTTTTCTGTGGTTCGTTTTTTTTTCCTCGCTTGAAAGAGTGGGAGGGGGGGAGGGGACAGCTTGGACTTGGCAAGAAAGCCAGGCCAAACTGATACACACAATTAAATTGCTTTATTAATATCAACTCATCTTTAATCAGTACTTCAATTCCATTTTAATTCCAGCAATGATTACAACAAAATGAAGATATGCTTTTAGTGTAGAAAAGTTTAATTAACTGATCTTGGACATGATGCAGCCAGTAAGTCTGGACAAAGAGAACTGAGAAGGCTGTAACGCACATCAGCTGGTAGGAAATACAATGACATAGCATGTATTGCCATCACTGGGATCCCAACACACCATCTTAAAAACAGGAAAGCAACAGGCCAAGCAGTTCACGCAGGAAGAAATAAAAAGCAACATGTGCTAAGGAAATTAATGAATTGGGTTGTTAACCCAGTAGATCTTAATGAATTGCAATTGTGCCTGGCAAGGCAGACTGTAAATTAAAAGTTAAGGAGAAAGTTCCTTTGACAAATCTTGGAACAAATTTCAGTTGGATTTAGTATTCAACTTACTACCCTGTATGTATCTGTAGCTCACAGTCCAAGCCTCATCTCTTTCATGCATTCATCTGTCAAAACTGTCTGCTAATGGAAACAAAGATACTGGTGTAAAACTGGAAGTTGAACGTAGAAATTAACTAACTATAAATTCTGAACAGAATTTTAGATTTTATCATTTAGACACTGGTGCTGTTAAAAAAAAAAAAGTGCTTGGGCGCACAGACCACCACCTCGATAAAATCTGCAGTATTAATATCTCTGGGAAGCAAAATAACAAGGATTAAACAGACTAACAACACAACACACAAAAAGGACAACTGGCAAGACTTAACAGATCTGCTACTTAGGGTATGGAAACATGACTTAATAGATCTGCTGCTTAGGATATGGGAACAAACATGTCTAAGAAGCCAGTTACTGCACCAGCAATCCTCAGTGCAAGCTTCCCTGAGATAACTAGAGGGATTTGCACGCAACCAATTTAAGGTGACCTTCATTTACTGCTTCGTGGTACCACACTTGTATGTTTGTAAAAAAAATTTTCACTGGTTTAGCTAAATTTATACACATCCTTCAGATCAGTTAAGCTGGTGCAACATTTGTATTGCCTTAGAGCAGCACTTTTCCCGCAGTAGTTTCAATGTGTTAATTTAAACAAATTTAATTTAAACGTTCAGTTGCTTTCCAATTTTGTGATCCATGACTTCTCCACAACACCTCCAAAATTTATTAGGAGGAAGATCAGTGCATCTCAGGAAGATCAAGCTTCACAGACTGCATTTCCATACAAACAGTTCTCTTCCACTGCTGGAAGCTATTATTGTCATAACCAGGCATGTTTCCAAACACAGACCCTTCTCTCCGGTGAAACCTGAGGTCTCCACTTTGTGCCAAGAGAAGTGACTGACCAGAGAGAAATGCTTCAGATTCAGCCTATGATTACTGAATGAACTGTGCTTTTTTTAGAAAAACTGCCATATTACCCCTGTAAGGAATATTACTTTAGCAATACATAGAAAATCACTAACAAGGGATCTAAACACTATAATTCATTCAACACAGCAAATGAAAGACAACATATTTGAGATCTCTTTATGAAATTCATCACCATATGGAACACAAACATTAGAGTTAGATGAAACTGCACATTTTTGAATGCAATACTGTTTGCTTTTCCTAAAGTAAAAAACCAAACAAACGAACAGTATTTCTTCAGCTATACATTTATCCAGCCCCTACTAGGATTTAAATACAGCATCTCCATTAAGTCAATCCTACTGAGAGAGGCTTAACGAAGTTTAGTGTGATGCACATGCTCCTACGCCAACATCAGATTCCTTTTTAGGTTCTATTGGATTTATTTGCCCCTCTTCTTTAAGCTTTGTCTCTGTAAAGTCTTTCCTGACTTCTTCTAACAGACCTGGCTTGAAAATGACATCCAGTGCTGTCATTGCCAAAGCTTTGGCTGTGCGCAAAGCATAGAACTGAGCAGTCTGTGACCCTGCAAAAAACAAAGTAAGGAATTGCAGGTTAGATTACTAATATTAAACCACTAGCTTACTGCATAAGGCATAGTCTGTAAAATAAGATCTTTAAGTTTCAACGGCAAGAACAGTTTCTTAATCTACTTGCATGAAGTACAAGCCCATTTTCTCATGCCTCAAACCAATTTTTCACATGCAAGTACTTAATTTTCTGCTACTGATATAAATAACTAAGACTGAAAACGGGAAAATGAGCATTCATGTTTTGCTTCTTAGACAATGTGGAGTTTTATACAGCTGGCACTGTTATGTTTCCAAAGCACTGTGTTTTAGGAGTAAAAATTTTTTCTTTTGGCTCATGTTTAGAAACTCTTCTGAATATGCTGCTTGGGATAATCCCTCTAATTTCTTGTGTCTAGACAGTATACCAAGTCAGGTTTTTTGTATGAAAAGTGATCATCCTTCCCATATACATTTAACTTTAGATACAAACCCAGAAATTCTACATTTGTCAGCTTTTTCTGCAACTCTACTATTAATGTAGTTAAATAGTTTCAGGGTCCATATTCAGCTCAAATCTCATCATGCTTGACAAAAGCAACCTTGTTTCTATAACATATTCACATGCAGCCCATTTCATATCTAGTATTTACACTTTTAAACATTATACATACAAAGCTACATTATACACAGTACCTTTGAATACCACAGAAACATATGAAAACTTTAATTCTCTGTAATTTGAAATATTCTCTACTTCTAGGTTTGCTGTAGTGAAATCAGCAAGCAGCCTCTACAATGTATAAGGGTTCCAAATATAAACCTTTAACCTTTTTCACTTCCACTCACCTGCAGCTTCTGTGTACTGCTCAGTATGATTCAATGCATCAGAGCCAATATAAAAATAAGGATGAAGCCCAGGGACCACAAATGTAACATTTCCAAAGTCTGTGGAACCTAGAAGGAGCACAGAGATTTTCTTGATGAACAAGTGTTGAACAGTTTTGAACGCTGTAAGAAAATGCCTGAAAGACATTATCTCCTGCTTGTATCTAAAACAGAATATCCTTTGCCCCAAATAACAAAATAAAAGCATTTCTAATGAGTCATTATCCATATAAATACCTCCCATCACCAAGGTGCTTTCCCTAACTAGTCATCTCCAGATGCTGCTCTCCAGTGTGCTTCTGATCAATGATCAGTTACCAGACTGCAAGGAAGATGTATCAGCATGTTCCTGTTCCCTTTACTGTTAATCTTTTATCAAGCACCTCCCAATAGTAAGCTGCTAATTATGAAAACAATGAAACAATGAAAGCTGCAAACCCTGACATTTCTGGTAGTTTAGTGATTTTCCTGTTACAGCCCTTAAAACTAGGTCCAAAACTTCCCACTTCTCACCAATACACAAACATTCAGCATTAGATAGAAGACTCTGAAGTAGAAACAATCTATCTTTAAACAAAACCAGATTGAGGACAACTATTTTTCCCCCCCATGCCCTATGATTATTCTCAGTTATGGAAATCTTAACAGCACAAGCACTCTTGAAATAAAATCAGAACTAAACTCCAGACAAAATGCTAGTATTTTGCAGATATAAAAAACCTCCTGATAGCAGTACTGCAGATTTTAATGATGATGCTTTCATGTCTGACTAGCAGTTTCAATATGTTATCTAGTGATAGGATCTATCTCACAGTACTGCCATATTTATTGAATGATATCATCCCAAAGTAGTAGATCCTTCACAGTAAATCATCCAAGAGTCTACAACTACATCCCAAGTGCCTTTTTTTTTTTTACCCAAACAAGCAATCCACTCATTATCTGTTAAAATGACATTTTGAAGCTGGAGAAATCAAAATACTAGTTATTGTGATATCCAGACACCAGAGAAAGTCATAGCAAGGGAAAATGGGGATGATCAACTAAGATCTCAATTAACTTTTTTCAGGCCAGAGATGCAAGGATTTGTTTCTATAGCAATTTGTTTCTATAGTATAAAATGTCCATCCCAAAGATTTAAAATTATCTGTATCAGGTAGCCTCCACATCATGATACTTTGTGAAGAGATGATATTGCTAATGCCTTAAGATTTAATAATAAAATGATTGAAGAATACAGATTTTACTTGGAAGCATATAGTTATTACAAGTGAGTCCACAGAGCCTACATTATGAGGACAAGAGTTTGCTATTTGCTCTGCTTACAGAGCAAAGACTTGGAAGAAGCAAGACTTGTCCAAAAACATCTTTTCCAATAAATTCATCATGCATTTGAAGAAAACCCAAGTCTTGGCACAGTAACAAGTTATTTTAATTTCCAGTAGTCTGTACTACTGATTCATTCTTTGGTCAACCTGGATAGACAAACCAGAAGTCTAAAAGTTCTGCATCCTCCAGACTAAGCCAAGAGTTCTAGACTTGCCTTACTAAGTCCTAATACATAAACTGCTGGAAAGACAGTGCTGCCCTTTTCCCCGCTCTTACTTAGCAAATGAAACATCAGAAATGTCAGTGCATCACAGTTTCCAGACATGTAAAATTCCAGTTTACAAATTATTTTTGCTGAATAGAGGGATTTAAACTGGGTATTTTCTAATAATATGGAGAGCCAAAATCCAGGCAGCTTTTAACAAAAATGTGACAGTCAAAATCTCCCCTCCAACAGAAAAAATGAGACACTCTTCAGTGGTAATAACCTAGATGCACGTTTAAAACATCAGGTGTTCCAATGACTTCCATACAAACATCTGAAATTGTATGCTTGCCAGATACATACAGATCAGGACTCCTTCTAGAAGTATAAATAATGGCAGCTGCAATATACAGAATTCTGCACTATCTTCAACAGAGAGGTACTGGGACCTCCAGCCACTCAAAAACGTATCCTGAAGCAGACACTGAAGCCTCTTCAAGTCACTGAATATTTAACAGAAGTCAGTATTACCACAAACACAAATGGAGGGGAAAATTCCAAAGATTCCAGGAAACATTTATATACAGTCCCAAGCTCCAAAAGCAGCATTTTCAAAGCATACTGCCTCCTTCTTAATATTGCCTGTATCAGTCTTGTGCACAGGGAACCAATGAACCCCATGAATGCTAAAAAAACCAAAGTTATCACAAGTGTTGGTGCCTCATCTAAGGCGTGCTCAATTAAGCCATCTTCTTTGGGAGGTTATTGGTATCCCGTAGTAAAGCTGCCCTACCGCCAGTAGGAGGAGAAACAGGCCATGGCACCCGGTCCAAACTAACTCAGTTTCACGTTATTTATGTCACCCTGGCTGTGTGCCAAGCGAGCAGAGCGGGCACAAGGCACACACAGATTTGATGTGCTAAAGAAACTCTTTGTAATGCTTAGCTGCCTAGAGCGATACCTGTGAGCAGACCGATACCAATACCCATGTAGAGGTGGCAGCGAGTTTGCTCATCTGTTTAGGACTTTTCTGCTGCACAGACATGGAGAAGCAACTGAGCTATCTTCCTTCCCTTTCAACAGAAGAAACTGATATCCTAAAAGAAAACATTGAAAACTGTATGAAAACTAAACAGAAATAGAGGTCTTGAAAAAGATGACACAACACACTCAACCCCCCCCAAAAAAAAAGGGTAGCATACAAAGTTCCACTCCTATGGCTCTGGAGATTGTGCTTTGTATCAGTCCTGAATTCCCACTGCAAAAATTCAGAGGAGAAGCTGTGGAAAGAAAATTCAGTAAAACCTACTGCAGTGCAAGATAAAAACACAATTGCTCAAGCACATTTTGACACCTGACAAGCAATTCAAGGACGGAACAGGCATATGATTTTTGATTTGGGGAGTTTTGATTTAAGCAAGTTAATGGTTAACATTTAGCATATCATGTAACTTACATATGAAAGTCCCATTACAAGTGGGTGTCTGTGCTAACTTTATTTGAAGTCCTCTGAAGGAAAGCAAGATCATCAATATTCACGATCACTCTTAATACAATGGTTTAAAGGAAGCAACTAGCAGAGCTCCAGAAAGCCGCACTACAGTAAACATTCTACGGGTAAGTTTCCTCAGCCCCTTTCTTTGGCTAAACCAGCAAAGTAGAAATCTTATTTGTACTGCACCAAAGAAAAAAAGAAACCTGCCTTTAGTTATAATTTGCTTTTATACACAAGACAACGAATCAGTTGAAAAAAACTTGTTTAATTTGGAAGGGAAGTAAGAAACAGAAAAAAAATAAAATCCACAATACCAGGGGATATGAAGTCTCCCGCGTCCACAAAAAAAAGTTTGGAGAGCTCTGTTCCCAAACACCAAGCTTATCCAAACTCCAAATATAATCTGCATTTAATACAGAGAAGATAAGCACCACAATCAAACTAGTTAGAGTAACTTTTTACCGAGAAAAGTATTTTCTTTCTAAGAGAAAAACCATTAGCGTAAGTGGAGTAAAAATGTCCATATATAGTTATGATCAGTAGTGAAAGCTAAAAGTACGAGCAGCAGTTAAGACTTGAACAGAGCTCCTGTAGGAACATTCTGAAAAAAAAAACCTATTAAGTATAATGAGAAAACCACCTAAGCATTCCCATTCCTGTTACAGCTCTGAGACCAAAAAAGTTAAATCGTTTGAGACACAGTCAAGACCCAAAAGTGAACACCTGCTTGAACAGCACCCTTTGGAAAACTAATCTGTTGAACTCTTGAACTAAAATTAGAGGTCTGTTAATGAAAAGATTAAATTAGGGTGAGATGCTTAAACTTCCATTTATAAATATCTCGAAAAACTCCCTCTGAGATACTTGTTAGATTCTCGTAGATTTGTTTATATGAAAGCTTGTAAAATACTATTAAAAAAGGTTCCTATAAACAAAGTCTCATCCCCATGCATAGCAAACCAGGATTCTGTATTTCAAAGCCACAGAATGAGACACAATTCATTACACATCCTCATGTCCTCAGTAAGACTGTTCTTAGCTCTCCAACCTTTCCCCCAATCAAACTGTTTATTAATTGAAATATTTTCAGAACTATTATCAGAAAACGATTACTGCTCTTCTTACCTGTTCTCAGCTTCTACAACAAATACAAAAACACCAGCCAGAGATATAAACCTTTTACAGAGCTTCACTATTGTAATTTGGCTTTTTCTTATGACCAAACTGGGTTTAACCTAGCTCTATTCCATTGTTTTACACACTTTAGGGTTGATCAACCTAAGCTTCAGTCATAACAAAAAATACAGATGGAGTTACCTGACAAACCATTCAAGATAGTTTCTTCTGATATAAATTCTATCCCAAGCTTCTTTCCATTCTCCTTGTAAATTTGCTGGAGGCTCTTATTTGGAAGCACATTGTAGTAATCATTTTCACCACCTTTTATTTCCACCTAGACAAAAAAAACCCAAATTATTTTAAGTTTTTCTCCAACATAAGCCAGTTCAATGTAAACAATCTAAAGGCCAGAAAAAATAACTATGTATCCATACTTCAAGCCCAAGGCAAAACAGACATAAGTGCTAAATTTCTTTCAAAAAACTACATTCTGCCAACTATTACCCTTGATCAAAACACAGCTGACATTCTGTTCAGCTTGCACTAGACAGTCAAATTCCAGAACCAAGGATTTCACAATTTTCTCCAAAAACAGGAAACAAACATTTCCTGTAACACTGTCTAATGATTCCTACTACAGGCACCATTAAACTACACAGAAATCAATTTAGGTTTTTACCAAATTCTATTTTACCTTTGTTTAGCACACTTCCAATAAATACAGCCCCATTCATGAAGTGACTTCACGCAGTCGAGAAGTTTGAAAACAAATGGAAAAAAAACTATCAATGTCAAATTTCAAGAGAGATTTTAACTTTCATTCTGCATAAAGTATGCTTTCTGAAGCCCTTTTCTAAATAGAGTGAGAAGGCCACAGTAGGAAAACAGCATCTAATGCCTCAAATAGACTACAAAACTGACAAGCTCACATTCACACATACCATATCTATTTGTTTTGATGACCACACATACATTTTTTTTATAGTTCTATTAGTCATAAAGCTGTAACTACAGACTAGGTAGAACAACCTACCTTAGCATTACAATGCAAGGTAGTCATGTTGCTTGAACCAGGCAGAGGAGGCATACCTCCATTTACTAAAAGCAAAAAAAAAGTGGGAATGCTAACTGAAAAAATCACTCAATTTTTCACATTTGATTGCTACATGAGCCTGCTATTCAATGGGGCAAAGGACCTAGTGACAAAGAACATGGCAAAAAAAAAAAAAAAAAAGACAAAACACCCAATACCTGTTTTGCTTGTTCCTACCAGTAAGGTTTGCCAGCAAGCCTCCCAGGTCTCTGAGCCTGGCAGCACTGTCTGTAGGATAGAAACATCACCCACAGCAAAACAAAAAAAATTGTGGGGCACTTGAAGAAATTGTATATGGGATTGGGCAGGATGCATCCAAGGATGCAGAGTAAGAGAGAAGCAGAAATGCAATCTGGGAGCCATCATTTTCTAAGTGTCATTGAAACAGAGGAATTCTCCAGCTCACTGAAAAGGAGCTAAAGGTCACATCCACCTTGAAGGGCCAAGAGGAGGACCTTGAAAACTACAGACTGGTCAGACTGTCCTATCCTCAAGTTCCCAGAGGAATTACAGACCAAATAAATCCTCCTAAGACCCATGTCCAGGCTCAGGAATCACAAGGTGATCGTGCATACACTCATGGAAGAGCAGATAGTGCATGATCAAGCTTAGCTTTTCATGACAACGTGTCTGGCTCAGATGACACGAGACATGCAAACTCCAAGTGTTACAATCAGTGGCACAAAAACCCACATTGCTGCCCGTTACCTGTAGCAGTCATCTGCAACCAATACTGGTGCCATTACTGTTTCAATATTTCTATCATTTGATGTAGACAACTCCTGTGAGACCACATCTGGTGCTATGTTCATTTTGAGCTCCTCCAATCAAGACTGGAGCTAGGCCACCAGAAGGCCATCAAGATAAGCAGGTGAAGAACATGACCTACAAGGACAGGCTGAAGGAACGCGATTTGTTGAGCCTTCAAAACAGCAGGTTAGTGGGACATCTTATTGCTGTCTACAGTTATCAGATGGGGATGGTACAGAGAAGACAGAACCAGACTTCTCAGAGGTCAAAGTGATGTGACAAGAGGCAACGAAGGGAATTCCCATTAGATACAACAGAGTCACAGAATGGCTGATGCTGGAAAGCACCTACGGAGGTCATCTTGTCCAATTCCCCTGCTCAATCAGGGTCACCTAAAGCTGATTGCCCAGAACCACATCAAAGCAGAATTTGAACATCTCCAAGAATGGAAACACCGCAGTCTCTCCAGGTAACGTGTTCCAGTGCTCAAGTCATCACAGCATAAACATTAGGAAAAACCTTGTTCACCATGAGCTGGGTAGAGCACTTGCTGAGAGAGGATGCAGAATTTCAGCTTTGGAAGTACTCAGAAGTTCATGTGGCACTCAGCAATCTGCTCTGAACATAGGATTAGACCAGATGACCTCTGGAGGCCTTTCCCAACCGAGATTCTTCTAGGATTCTGCAGCATTCTATTTATAAACCAAAGCTTGCTTTCAGGACACAAAGCAACAGAACAGCAAAGATTATCATAGTAACTTAGATTTACTTTGGCTAAACACCATGCAGACAAATAATGCAAGCCTCGATTTCCTGTTCTGGTCTGTGCAACAGAAACACAAGACAATGAATATATTCTTACTTTGCACCCTGTGGCCAGTGCTGCAGATTTGAAGCAGTTCTCAACCTTCTCTGCCAGAACAGAAAGCTCTTTCATTGAAGGTGCGCGCAAGTAAAACTCTAGCTCGGTGTAAGAAGGAATGATGTTAGGTTTCACACCACCATTTTTTATTACACCTGCAGAAAGGGAAAAGTTGTGTTACCAGTGTTAAACGGAATAACTTCACCTTCAGCCCTGTCATGAAACTCCTCAGTCGAGAACTAAACATATAAACAGAAACCAACAAAACATCAGCAGAGCATGAAATACAAAGGGTTTAAAAAATACAGTATGTGGACAAAAGCTTCTTCATCACATCAGATTAAGTGGAACATGTTTGTGTTTTTCAGCACAATTTCACTGCATTCTTTGGTTAGACATCAGCTATAAATCCACAGATGAGCCAAACTAGCATTTCTAATTAATCCCCTGAAATTCAATTCATCAGAGCCCTAAATCAATCCGGCTGCCATAAGAAAAAAATTGCTATAAAGGCTAACTTGGATTCCAATTTCTCAACATTTCCTCAACTAGAATGCTTCCAACTTACTTTGTGAGCTTGGAGAAAAATTAAGTTGCGTTTCTCAGCAATACTGGAGTAATGTGTGCGTTGCAGTGCATGGAAAGTTCATTAGATGCCTCATACTAATTCTTCAGAAATATGGGAATGTATAATATATGTAGTTTTGTTCAGAAGTACAGTTTGAGTTGAAAGTGCTTCCTCAAGGAAATGCGTGATAACTACATCTTTTTCAATTATAGCATCAGAGGCACTACCATAAAAGACAGTAATATTTAGATATTTCAACAATAAAACATTATAGAGCCCAATTCTACATTAGATTTTAAAGCATTAACAGTTAGGTGTTTTCAACAGGCTGTTTCTCTGGCCTCCTACCATCAATTTGGCCAGGAGGCCAAAACATAAGATTTGTTTTCTCTAGAACCTGGGAAACTCTCTACCTTAAACGGAAATATTGCACAAGTTACTGATACGTGGCACTGAGGCCTGAAGAGACAGCACTAACAGGATGCAAATGGGCAACAAAACATTACTTTTGGTGCTGAAAACCTATTATTAATTCCACCTGAAGTAATACCTTTCCAGTCTCAAATACAGTCAAAATAAAAAACAAAGTGCTGAATTAATCCACTATCAGTATTTGTCTATCACAAAAGGAACAGCTCAGATGAGAGGGACAGACATCACAGGAAAGGAACCAGAGAGTGAGTAACTGTGCAAATTTTCATGATACATACCAAAACACGTTTTCTCAAAACAAGAAGCTTCATGAGCAAACAATTTTCACTTGTCTTGTCCAGCACATTTGTAAATGGAACTGGATAGACTCTGAGTATGCCTACAGTTAAATTTCAAAGCAACTGCAATATGGACTGGACAGCAGACCTAGATTAAAAGTAGGTTGCCTAAACACTACTAGTAGCAGCCAGTTTGCCCTTCTGGAGGGAAACCCTGGAGTTTTTTTACAACCTGTTTAATACAACTTTTTGAACAGGAAAAAACCCTACATTCCTGTTTTTCAAGGAGGCAACACTTACTCCATTCATAAGCAGGGAAGAAAGGTAATATCAAAATCTCAGAGGAACTCAAACCAACAGTATTTCAGTACATGAAACATTAGTTAGAAATCCTAGACTTCAAACAATGGAAATTATCTCAGCTTTTGTTAGTGGGCTAACACTACTATTTTTAGGATCACTGAATTCAGCCACTGATTATACTGCAAGTCTGCAACACAAGATCTCCAACAAACTGTTGTAAAGAAAGCATTCCTAAAATTAAATCTCATTCTGTCTGCTTATACTTTCCCAGAAGTATTTTAAATATTTCCAATTTGAAAACCAGGTTTATGACTGCAGTTGTATCAACACAGTAATTTCAGTTTTGCTGTCGTTCAGGAAGCATTACCTGTAGGAGGCTTGTTTAGATACTTAGTTTTTTTTCCAGTATTACCCATGCAGCCTTTAGAAACTATGAAGAAAGCAGTATTTAGGGGTTTAGGCTTAGATTCAACAGAAGACTTAGGCAGCTCCAAGCTTACACATACAACACATGCATTTTAGACACCAAAACTCAACTATGTGCCTTGTTTCCTACAGAGCAATAGGATGGAGAGGCTATGCCTACTGTCTGAAATTCTTTTGGGCATGCTGCACAGCCCAACTGCAAACAGCTTCATCTAGAGTCAAAATGATCAAGACTCTATCCAGATATCCTGGAGAGAAACACACACTTGTATTACATACAGCACAAGCAACGAAGACATATAATGGTCAGCTCAGAACTTCTGGAAGGGTTTTAAGCTCATAAACAAGTACTCCAAATAAACAGCTCTACATTCATAAGTCCTGTAGAATTGGCAAAGTTTATTAATTTCGACTGTGTTGTGTTGAATGTAATAAGGAAAACTGAGTTTATAGCTAAAGGGCAGCTTCATCTCAGCTGAAATTTTTGATGATGTTGATGCATGACATTGAAGGAGTACAAGTCAAGCTTAGTGAAAAATGACCTTTCTAATCCAAAATCTACTAGATATTAAATATTAGAATCCAGTCAACACCTAGTTGATTGGGCTACTAACCAGAAATATAAGCTTGTGCCATCACTTGTTCTTTGTACTTCAGCAAATAGAAACTTCACTCCAGACCACTACACCTTTCCAATAAATGCCATCTAACTAATGGAATACCTACTAAAAAAAGTGATGCAGTGATACTTCACTTTTCAGAAGCATTTAATCTTACACCTTTGCAAAAACACACAGATTAAGGAATTCAAGGCCATGTACCAAAATAAACTTGGCACTTTTTTCTTCCTTTCTGAACTGCAACTTCAAGTGCAAAGACTTAAAATTTGTCTCGCCTCTACCTAGGTACCAGAGTCCTCTTTTGAATATGATCTGTGAGTGTATTTTCAGCAGTTAGTTCTGGACACTTACATACCATTTAAATGAAATGGTGTTATTTCGTAATATTTTAAGTGACTATACTAATTTAGGGCATTAATGCAATACTTCGAAATGTATGATATTCTAAGTTAGTACTTCAACAGCCTAAACTCTACTTGCTGGACATTAGTTTTAATGAAGATCTCACCATGAACTCTCCAGGTCGGTTTCATTTGCTGTCTTAAAACAGACAGATTGTTGTACGCAAGAACAGCAGCATCTAATGCATTAACTCCTTCCCAAGGATAAGCAGCAGCATGAGAAGCTTTTCCATAGTATTTCACAGTCACGCTAGGAAATAAAAGGCATTGCTTATTTGTTTTTTGTTCACTGAAAAAAAAAAACCTCTAAAAGAAAAAAGTTCCTTTTGTTCACACAAATACGTTATTTAAGTTTTGTGCAGCAGAACACCAAACAATTTACCTGGCACTAGACTGTTGCATAGTTAAACTATCTTTGAGTGCAGAAAAATGCTGAAAGATTTCTAGAAAACCAATAAAATGGAATGATACCAAGAGCCAGTCAAGCAAGAATGCTACTGGTAACATACCACTACAAAGCCTTTTCCTGAAGAGTACAGGTTTCACATATTAATTAAATTTCTCCAACACTTTTTTTTTTACACTGTCTGACTGTTCTGAGACTTAAAGCTACTAACATTCTTCTCAGAGAACAACAAACCCTTTTCTTGGACTCAAAATTAGAAGCTGACTGTCCTAATTCTTGTCAAATAAAATGCGTACAATAAGACAGCAAAAGCATGTAAGATCACATACAACTCATGTCTAAATAACAAAAGTCAAGTTTTACAAGTGTAGTAATGGCATAGCCTAGTACTAAATACACATTATTATGCTACAGCAAGGATGTTCTTTCCCTGCACACCTCAAAAAAGGTGGTAGAAAGGCTTGCAACAAGGAGGAAATTTAGTGCAAGGGTTATCCTCCAATGGCATAGAAGTCATAAAAAAATGCACCTTAACATACCTAGTAAGAATTCATGCTTTGCCTCATCTTGGGGCCATTTTTATTAGACTTACAAAATAATTTAATATTTCAGATTATATGAAAACTCTTTACATAAGAGGAAAATACTAAATATTGACAACTACATAAGGTCTTACTATTATAAAATACACAAATATTTTTTTACCAATAGTAGAAATTTTAACTAAATCAGTTTGTACTCCATACCCACTCCTTTACACAGAAAACTCCATCTTCAAGCTCAAAGACTTCCTTCCACCCTGGCACACACAACCTTCCTCTTGCCCAGCCATAGTGAGCAAGCCCAACTTGCTTGTCCCTCTGTCCTGCACAAATGCCAACTTAACCAGTTATCCTGAACTGACCCCTCACGCTCAGAACCACGCCACAGCTGTAAATTAATACCAGTACTTAAATACTTGATAGCAAAGAGGGGCAAAAAGGAGTGTACTGTTGCAGCAGGAAACATCTACTACTACTGGAGCAACCCCATTCTCCTTCATCCTCCAAGACAACCATAGATCCCTTTCTCTACAGTATGAGATTTATTTAAAATTTGTTATCACTAAGGAATCAATATAAAAAACCTTACCCATTAATATCACAAGTATTATACTGCAACCCCTCAAATCAATCCACAAATATCCCTTGACATTCTCCAAAAAACGGGAAGAAAGCAAAGTACAGCAGAAAGTCATGTTGCAACTTTCTTTTTGCACAAGAAGCATGTGTTTCTTATAAAAAACCCACTTTTTCAGCATTCCTTTTCTTGTACTTTTATTGCTACACAAATGTCACAGAGTGTCCGAAAAACCCAACAGATTTTGCAGAATAACAACACCCTAAGCCAGTTTAAGAATACCAGCAGAAGAATGTGGATCCTGTTTGACCAACAATAGGCTGATCAAATGAAAGATAAGTGAATAAGAATCAGCAAACTTTGGAATGTATTCACCAGTTATCTCAATACGTTAATCTTACTTCAGGCACAAGCCAGTTTTCACAGTAGCAGATACAGTTATATTAGCAATTTAGTGATCACCAGTCCTTAAACTCCTTGGAAACAACCAAAGATAAATTACGAATTGGCAGAACTGTCTTTGTACCTTTGGAATCTCATAATTACATAAAACATGACATAAACTGAGTATTTCAAGGTTTTGAAGATAGTAAGTTGCTTCACTCAGAACTTCAATGTCGTGCCTCCTCCATGTTCAAGGTTTAAAGGCTATCTGGGACTTGCATCCTACAGCAGACCATCACCTCTGAAGAGAGGCTTCTAAATCTTACTGTATGAAACTTAAAAGGCTATTGCAAGCAGACAGGCAAAACTATCAAGGAAAACTGAATCCTGAACATTATAATCTTAAGGTACAAAAACCAAAAGGCAAGCTGGGCTAAGTCCTGAAGGAGATTACAATAACCAGTAAAGACTCTTTAGAAACACAATAAAGGAATATAGCAGAGAGCTGGCCACATAATAAAGACTAGGTGTTGCTAACCTTGCCTTTTTTACCATAAAATTTAGCAGTAACAGAAGCAAATTATCCATTGAAAAGAGCCCTGACAAAAGCAAAATGCCCAAGAACATAGGAGCTGAAAACAGTTCTCAGTACATCAAGTCAGAAATTACTGGAAAAACAGTTATTTAAATATTACAGAATGTAGTCAGAGACAGACAGCCAAAAGAAATACTTGAAAAATCTGTTTCACTGGAGGGAGGTTACTAGTGGGGTCTCTGCGAGATAAGACCCTGGGATCAAGAATCTTAGTAACAGCAGCATAAAACGTAGCAACAAAACCTGCTGATATACTACTGCTGGGACACTACGGAAAAAGAAGTTTATAACATCAAAAGAAGAACAGCATGGCCTTGCAGACTGGCAGAGTAAGAAAAGAAAGAAGCTCAAAAGTATTTTTTAAAAAAATCACATATTTAAAGCATTTGTATAAGAGTTGATTGCTTGAAAATGACTGAGCAGGAAATCCCAAACATGCCGGCTATCTCCAAAGATATAAGGAAACACTATGGTCCCTGCATCAACTAAGTAAGGTCTAACGAAATTGCACCTCATGTACTGTGTACAATTCTGGGTATGCACATCCAGCAACGTGTACTTCAACACAAGCCAAGTGACTCCAAGTACAAACAAGCAAGTGCTGTCACTGAACAGCAGAGCTAATGAAAAGAAGACAAGACATAATTTCCAAAGAGTTACATGGCTAGGTGGCAAAAAAGGCAGCTGGTACACGAAGGGCCAGGAAAGCCAAGAACTACTGTGAATCAAAAAAAAAGTTGATGTGACAGTTAATACACACAACATGGCCATGACTAAATTTAGAGTGGAAGTTAATATGGATCCAAACTGCAGTCAAACTTAGCCAGTCAGTTCTTTTCAAAAGCAGGAGGTCGAACCTGAAACACTTTCTGAAATGATTAAAATGCACAGAGGATTACATGACCTGGCATCCTGGCATCCAGGAAAGCGTGGAACTATGATCCTTGAGACCCTACAGTTGCATCTTTAAATTCTATTTTTATTTTAACAGATCGGATAATCACATGGATATTTAAAAGAAACGCTTAGAAACATCAGAACAAAGAACTGATTTTTGGGACACATGCAAGATTATCTCAGAGCAGTCAGGGATTTTAGCACTATGCTGAACACCGCACTTCGGAAGAATGCCTCAGAGTGCCATTCCCTAACAGTGACCTGGCTCCTTAGCTGACTGCAAATACTTTGTCTGAAGGGCATCTGCAAGGTCCCTGGGTTTCAGCCACTGCCAAAGCAGTATTCTACTGAGGGAGAGGACAAAGGGCTAATAACAAACCACCTCTTTCCATCTGACCCCGCTCACTCACTCGTGCTCAGCCACATCAGGCAGGTAAGCCGCGTCTTCCTGCGAGGGGTGCGCCATGAAAACCGCATCCAGGCCATCGAAAGCTCCAGCCTTTATCAGGTCGATTTTGCCTCCTCCCTGCTCCTCCGCGGGCGTCCCCAGCACCGTGATCTGCAGCACAGATGCACAGAGAGGGTCAGGGGCAGTCAGAGGGGGGCAGACACCGCCGCCTCCCTCGGGAGGGCTCCCACCTGCACGGGCGCGGGCTCTGCCAGGCTCTCCAGGGCGGCCTTCAGCGCCAGCGCGGCGCCGGCTCCCACCTCGGCGATGAGGTTATGTCCGCAGGCGTGCCCGAGCCCGGGCAGCGCGTCGTACTCGCAGAGAAAGGCGATGCGGAGCGGGCCGCGCGGGCCCTGCGGGGCGGCCGTGCCCCAGTCGGCGCGGAACGCCGTGTCCAGTTTGTAGCGCGGCCGCACGGCCCAGGCGGCGCCGGGCAGGTCCCCGCCGGAGAAGAAGCGGGTCAGGGTGTCGTGCGCCTGGTGCTCCGCGTACGCCAGCTCGGGACGGCTCCAGATGTCGCGGCTCAGCGCGCCCAGACGCGCCGCGTTCAGATCCACGCTCTCACACGCCCGCTGCTTCAGCTGCTCCAGGGCGGCGGCCGCGGCGAGGCCGCCCTGCGGCGGCTCCTGCGGCTTCATGTGGCCCAGCGAGCACCTGACGGAACACCTGCCTTTCAGAGGGAGACCGGCGCTGCCGCCCCGTTTTATGGCCTCCGCCGCACCGCGGGGCACGCTGGGAAGGGTAGTTCGTCGCCCCGTGCCGACCCGCAGGCGGCGCCCAGCCAGAACTTCTCGTCCCAGCGTGCCCAGCGCGGCGCCCCCGGCGCGGCCGGCGGAGTTTCGCGGGCCCGCCCGTATCCCGTGCCGGGCGCCTGCCGGGTGCTGCTCGGTGCTGGAACCCGCCGTGTTCTCTGGTTTAGGTCCAGGTGTGTTCTGGTTTAACCCCAGCCGGCAGCCAAGCCTGGCACAGCCCCTCACTCACTCCCCCACCAGCAGGACTGGGACAGAATCGGACTGGTAAAACGTAGAAAACTCGTAGGTTGGGATAAAGACAGTTTAATTGGAAAAGCAAAAGCAAAAGCCACTTATACAAGCAAAGCAAAATAAGGAATTAATTCACTGCTTCCCATGGTCAGGCAGGTGTTCAGCCATCCCCAGGAGAGCAGGGCCCATCACATGTAACACTAACTTGGGAAGACAAACATCATCACTTCAAACATCCCCCCACTGAGCATGATGTACTATAGTCTAGAATATCCCTTTGGTCAGTTCGGGTCACCTGTGCCGGCTGTGTCTCCTCCCAGCTTCCCATTCAGCCCCAGTCCCGTCGATAGTTGTGTGACATGGCATTTGTTTAAAATCCTGTGTGCACATATTGCTAACAGGGATTTATCAGAAGCTGGAATGGGTGTGAAGTGCTCATTGGGAGTTTTTAGATACAAACCATATAGCAGGGACCTTGCCTATTGAACCAACCCATACCTGACAAAAGTTGAAGTCAACACAAACAAAATGACAAATTTCTGGTGGTATTCATTTAAGTACCAGAAATTCCCTTTTAGTTCATTTTAGACATGATTTATCCACTGTACCCTTTCCCCACAACTTTTCTGTCACCTGTAGAGGTGCTTTGGTGTGCTGAACTGCAGGTTTCCCCTCTCCACAGAAAACGGGCAAGGTCCTTTTCCTAATCACACCCAAACCCTACAGGACTCTATTTTCCCCACCCATCACCTCCTTGCACTAATGCCCTCCCAGTCTGTCTTTGCCCTTTCCCTGGGTGCTTGTAAAAGCCTCACTTACCACGTCCAGTCAGTTCTAGTCTTCACTACTCAGCATCACCTCAAAAAGTACTACTTTGCCCCTCCAGGCTCCAAACCAGTGTTCACAGTCCCCTTCTCCTCACCTAATTGATCCTAATTCTCCTGTCCTGTTCCCTCTTCGTAGCTATGTTCCCTGACTCTGCTAGGCACAAGTCGGTTTCTCACAACTTTTTCAGTCTTTGCAATCCCAGTTTGTTGCCCAGCCAGCCCAGGTCACCTCTCCACTTGTTTCCTGCCCCAGTCTCCCTAAATCCTATTTTCTTTTCCTCCTTGCTCCTACCTCTCCTGTACTTTTTGTGCACTCTCTTCCACCTGGTTCTGAGAATGCCCCATATAATGCAGCCAGTGAATTGAAAACAGTAAATTACAGAATTGAAAACTAGGTGCTTTTGGGCTGAGTTATTTTTCTGCCAGATCACTGAAATGGGGGTCAGGTGAGAGCAGTCAGCACAGTGTGCTGCAGAGGACATATCAGTGCATGGCCAGGGTGCAGTGACACAAAGGGCAACGCCCTTGTTCTAGTCTAGGACTGGCACTACAACTGAGGATGTCAAGCCTCGGATCCACAGCTAACAGGAATGGCGAGGCTTGGCCACAGAGCAAATTGCACTGTGGCAGCTGCCTCCAAACAACCCAGCTGCTCGTTCGGAGGGCTGAAGAAGGAGCATGGAGTGCACAGGAATGTCAGCATCTGAAAGTGGGGCAAACTTAGCTCTGGCTCATCCAGGAAAATTTACCACTCATGGGGAGCAGCTAAATTACTTTTAGGGATTATGTTATCTGCTCACAGCTTGCTGTCTTCCAACTGAGACTTCTCAGATAATGAGAGGGTTGAATTACTTATGTGACCACTTTAGGATATACTTGAAATCCTCTTTGTCTGCCATGAGGATTTGTGAAACATGCAGCAGTAAGATATCCAATAATTTTATAAATTTAAGCAGAGTTTATGCCAGCTTGAGAGTTTCAACTTGCATGTTTGAAAACTGGTAATATGTATCATAATTAGTGCTAACATCAGTTAACATAATAATGGGTATGTTGTTTTGTATTTTCCAATTCACAGTCCCACATAATTTCCACGCTCTGTGCACAACTTGTAAGTGTGGTTCCTTTAGAGGGTTTTGCTGACTGGGAGAATCTCCCTTCATACTTCCTGGCATGTGCTCCTGCTGTTACTTTTCTTGTGAGGGTCTGACAACCATGTTGTCTCCAGTGAGCTAGTTCAGTCAGTAAAAATCAGCTTAGAAAAGAAAAATGATATGGTTTCACAGCTGTGGTTTCACAGCTGATATGGTTTCACAAGACACACAGTAGGTCTCTGCTTCCAAAAGTTCCCAGTTCCACCATAATTTTCCCTTTCCCAGCCAAAAATTTATCCCACTCCCTATTCACCCTTTGGTATTTGTTGGACCTTTACTGGAGCTTATGCGAATCACTAAAATGGCACAAAAATAGCTTATGCAAAAAGTTGAGTAATGTCCTGCTGTTTTAGTGAGTTAAATGGACAAAGGTCCATTAAATACCAGGGCAAGGAGGGCATTGTGAGACTGGGTGTGTGGAAGCAGTGAGCTGCTCAGCCAGCTCAACCACTCTGGGTTGGGAGCATCACTGTTGAGGATAGCCCACAGAACTAAAAACAAACATTTACAGCTGCTGCAGGTATTAAAGCAGAGTGGGGGTCTTGCTGTGAGCAAAGCAAAGGAACACATTCACATAAGTTGAAGACTAAGCAAGGCTGCAAGAATTTTTTCCTTTGTCACAATAAAAGCAGTGCTGTGACTCCTGAAATCAGACCAGTTCAGGAAAGGAAAAGGAAAAGGTGTGAAGTATTTTTGTTTACAAGCAACAGATGCATGCTAAATGAGGCTTCCATTCCTTTAATAAAGAGCCCTTGCCTTTCTAATATTGTTCCTATTCTGTCTCCTCCTCAGTATGTACTGTTTTTATGGAAGAATGACTGGATATTTACCCCAGAGGTGGGATGGTACCTATTAAATTAGCAATAATTTTCTTGCTCCTTAACCTTCAGTTCTCAGTTATTACACTATCATGTTTTTTCCTCCTACTTTAGGAGAAGGCACGGTCTTTCAACCTTTTATGCCCATTTGAAAATTCATTGAATGTCACCAGGAGTAAGAAAACACTTATATTCAGTATCTTCATTTTCTATAGGTTGTGCCTAGGGTCATGATTATGAGAATGTTGTATTACAGTCAATCTAAATTATAAGTCTACAAAATGCAAAACATATATCCATAGCATTTTGTTTACTAAGACAGAAAAAAAAAATGCATTTTTTAAAAACTAGGTCAAAAATACTATGCTGATATTTTGATTGTGCTAAACAAATTACAATGCAGTATTGAGACTGCTTAAAATACTGTTACTATATAGAGGAAATACAACCCAGGCAACATTGCGATTCTTTGGGAAAATCAAGAATTGTGCATATATTTATTCGTACATAAACAGAAACAAACCTCACAGCTGCTAATTCAATCCCTGGAATTAAGCAGTAAACAAATGCTTTTATTTATGTTTTAGAGGGTGGATGAGGCTTGGTAGCTTTCCATTGGTCTAAAAGAAGGAACATCTGTTGTGGCCATAAAAAACTCGATGATCAAGTTTACCACATCCCACATTAGCAATATTAGGCATTGAAGTTGAAATCCAGATCAGACTGAACTCAGTGAAAGTTTTGCTGTTAAATTCCGGGTGGCCTGGATTTCAAGCCAAAATCCAAAGCTTTAAAAACAATAGCACAGTGAGTATCAAAAACAAAAGTAGTCTGTTGCTGTGTGTAGGAGCTATATGCTGGCTTGCCTAAAATAACATTCCATCCTGGTTTACAAATAGCTTTATATTAGGAAGTATGTGTCAAGACATACAATGCTACAAAAACAAATCCTGTGTTTAAAAAGAAAGCATGATAAGGGTTTCTTTGGTCAGATCACAATATCAATATTAATATAGAGCAGAAAAATTTTAAAGAGCTCATGAAGAAAAAAAGGCTTAAGTCACTGGAGCATACTGTCTTTTTTAACTGTTACTGGATTAAGGATGCCACTATATGTCTTATACATTTCTTATTAAGGGAAAAGAAATACAGGATATGTGTGTTCAAAAAAGTGAAGCCTTCTCCCTACAGATATATAATTTCTATCACTTAAGAGTTAATTATGGTATGGGCAAAAATTCAGAGCAGACTGAGACAGAAAACATGAGCTTAATGCTTCCTTCAGATTTGGTTACATCATGTACAATACTTGGAATTAAATCTGAAATTCCTCACACAGCATGTTTATTAGCTGTGTGGTTAAGGCCTCACCATTTGCCCAAATGCTGTGAACCTGTACCAAAAAGGACAAGGTAAAAGTCATCAGAGACGCTCAGTGAGAAGGCAGCTGTGGCTATTTGAGATGCTACTGGCCTCAGCTCTTTGTGCCTGCCAAAAATGCCTGCCCCAGCTCTGGTGGCAGAATGAGACACAATTGCCTCTGAGATGTTTCAGGGCAAAGTCCAAAAGCTTAACTCAAGCTGTCTCCACCCCCGCCCCCATTGCATTTTATGCTTTAAACACTGGGGTTTATCCTGAAGCAGCTTAGAGTTATCTGTGTTCTCAGTCTGCTGACTCCACTATGTGGGTGGTATCTTCTGGAAGACAGGCAATAATATTTTAAACCGAGGCAGTTATTTTCAAAACAATCACTTTCATGCACCATTAGCCACAGAGGCTGGTATAAGCTTTGCTAGCTTTAGCCTAGTTTAACAAACAGTGGTTTTCTATCTGATGCAGATTTTCATTTGTACTCTGAAAGCTGCAAAAATACAGCAAGGGCT